TGCATAATCAATGAAACACAGATAGACATTCTTCTGGTATTCTCTGCTTTCAGCTAAGATCCATCTAACATCAGCTACAATATCCCTAGTACCACGACCACTTCTAAACCCATTGTAAATGGTACTTTCAGAAAAAGAAGAATGGTAAGGAGCTGCACTGTTATCCCAAAGGCATGAAGTTCAAATCCAGCTCCCCTCAAAAAAGATGGACAGTCTCCTCCCATGTTATTTACAGTCTCTGAAAACCTGCCAGAGGGTCTGCTGTGGATCAGTTCTTATTCGGTGGCACACAACAAAAACAATAACAACATAAAGAAATTATCTGAGTAGAGAAACCAAGCCTTAGTCCTAGAGAGTCATTAGGATGGAAGAAAAGAAAAAAAAAGGATGGAAGAAAAGTCCAGCAAATGGTGGTAGTTGTTGTTAGGTGCTGTTAGTCAATTACCACGCCTCGCAACCCTCTGAACAACCTTGCCCTATCCGGTGCCATCATCAGCTTCTCTGGATGCTGAAACCCATTCTTGCAGTCATTCTGTCAGTCCAGAAGGCTCCTTCCGTGTTCTGATTTCTTCTTCCTTTCTCCCTGCCCTTTTCTCAAGGCTTGATTTTTCTCATTGGTCTTCCATAGGACTCCTTGATTGTAGTTGGTCCCTTGGCTAAGTTCATGTGAAAATTGGTCTTAATAACCAGTGTTTTTCACAGAAGTGTTACAGTAGATTTCTTTGCTAAACTGTCTAATAGTTTATTTTCACTTACTTTCCCTCTCTGAAGGTTTAGTATATGCTTTCTTCATTAATATATAACATACAAGTAGAATCTTCTGTGGAATTAGCAAACACAAGCCATTTTTACCAGTCTAAAGTGTTTTAGAAAATAACTCTAGAGTGAAGAGTATCAGGAACATGATATCAAAGAGAGCTCTGCTGTATAAATAATTGTTTTTTTCCTGAAATCATTATTGATTGTATTTTTTTTCTTCTTCTTTTCATTAGACTTTCTTGCAACTACCTCCTGCTATGGTAGAAGAAGGTGAGGAAGTTCGAAGTCAGGAAATAGAAATAGAGACTGAAGAAGAGACCACATCTGTTCAAACTGACATCCTACCCAGTTCAGCAGATGCTGAAACTTCAGCCTCAGACTGAGACCACTACAGATCAAGCCGAGACTGTCCCAAGTCTAACTGAAGCCATCTCTGACCAGTCCCCAAACCACCTCTGTCCCAGCGGAGATGGCTGTGGCCGATGCTTCGGCTGAAGAGACATCTGAAACTGCACCGACAGAGGCTAACCCGCCTCAGGATGCCACAGCTGCCCCAACAGAGACCAAGTAACCAGCGTGCAGCCCTTCTTGGGGAGGACATTGTAGTTACAGAAATCCACGTTGAGTTACTTTATGCGTATTTGTTTCTGCCACTTTCTCTGGCACTAATTAAATGTCCATTCCTTATTTTTATTAACTGTTTGTGTTCTTGGATTTTTTTTTTTAAACCCATATGTAGCCACACACATACTCCAGTTTCATTTGCTCAGTTGAAAGGACAAACAGCCATTTACTTCATATTTTATCACTAACTATAATCATACCTGCTTTAAGAGAATTTTCTATAGAATACACAGGATATAATTTATTTATGTTTATGGGGAACTTCACAGGAATGGCGGAGGGGGAGGACAAAATATGTTGAAATTAACCATAAAAGCTTTCAAGCAATTACCCAAATTGGAAAGAAATTATTTCTTCTTCCATGCCATCAGATTCTGAAATTTTTTTCTTCTTTTCTTTCACTGTCTGTGCTCAATAAAGGCTCCAATAGCCCAGGGTATTTATTTTCCCATACATTTTCTTCCCCTGACTCTCACAAAGGTTCATGAGACCATTTATTAGGTCGCCTAAGTGCTCTGTAAAAGTGCACATTCTTAGAACCACCCCAGGCGTACTGTATCAGAATTTCAGGGCTGAGAAGGCCCAGGAGTCTGCATTTTTTGCAAATACTGGGAAAGTGACGTTAGACAAGGCTGATGAGGCTGAACCAAGACTGGTCATTCAACCAAGCAGAAAGAACCTGGCAGGTAGATTGGGCAGAAAGGAGAATCAAGAGTTCCAGCAGTGAGAGTCAGCAAATAACACCTGTGTGCAAGAGTTCTCCCAAGCCTGGGCTTCTGTAGGAACTTCAATGCGACATCAAGTAAAATGGGTTCAAATATTCCACTGAAGGCAATAAATGAGGTAGAGGCCTCCTATAAAGATTCACAGTCTTAGAAACTCGAGGGTAGGTGCCTTGAGTCTTTTCAAAACCATTTGGTTTTGGTTTGGGCTTGTGTTTACCCAGCTTTCTCAGACTGTCCTGTGTAGGTTTCATACTCTCTTATCTTCAGAGTCTCTTCACTACCTCAGGACAATTGTGTAGCTGTCAAGTGAGGTCAGGGAAAAGGAAAATGAGGGGAATGAAATACCAAGGAAACGGCACTGGGAAACCTGGGTGGCCTGGGGTGGAGCTATTTGTGATCAGGGCAAGGATCTAGCCAGATAATCTCTTACATCAGTTTTCTGATTATAAGAATTTGAAAGCAGGTGTTGTGGGCATCTACATGAGGAATGGCACAGAATTGTTTTCATTTGTAAATATACTGTATCAGGCTAAGCAAGAAGGAAAGAGGCTTTACTGTATTACAGTCTTTCCTGGAAAAGATTGATTCCTGTCATTACCCTTTCAGGGTTATGAATCAAGATACTGGCAGTAAAGATAATCCCTCAAGCAAATTATTTATTAAGTAAACCATTTCGCTCCCCCCCCCCAACTATTTTGTCATCATGTCTTGCTGGTGACCACTTCCTTTGCTGCTTTGATTTTCTGTCACACTATAAAGCAAATTTAAGAGGAAAATGGTTAAGTCTTTTGCCTTTGTCAAAGAAATTTAAAAAGGAGAGGAGGGGATTATTTTCAGCTGTTTATTCACTGGAAAGGTTATTTAGTTGCAGTTGGCTATATAGGACCATGAATTTAATTTTTTTTTTACTTTATTAAAATATTAAGTTTATTTTTGTCTCCCCACCATTTCCATTTGTCTGACCACAGCTACTACTGTGACATACTTAAAACCAAAACAAAGGTTGAAATTCTTTAAAAACTAAACAGGCAATTTGGACCCCCTCATTCTTGGCAAAGAAACCTGGACAACATTTACCATTCATGGTAGGGAAAGTTCTCACTTTTCATGATAAAAAAGGACAGACAGATATCAACTGTTAATGAAATAAGATGGAAAATTGTAGCAAACTGTATAAACGTTTTTAAATTTTTTTCCTTTTTTTTTTTTTTAATGTATGTGTACCATCAAATCGGATCTGACTGGTATAGGAGAAGTTTGCCCCTCCTTCTCCAGCAAATCATCTGGTGGATTTGAATACCTCTGGGATTGCAGTGCAGCTTTTTGCCATTAAGCCACCAGAGCTCCTAAACTCTTTTCTTAAAAGAGACTTCTTCCACTGTCAGAGGTCTTGAATAGCCTCCTGGTCTGTCAACCCAGAAGCAATTCTTCACGTGATTGATGAATTTGGCTTCCACTTTGGAAAGAAAACCACCTTTTTCTGTACTTGCCTTTTTGCCTTAATTTCTTCTGTAGAATTAAGTCCTTTTGGTGTTTTGGAAATTTTTTCCTATTTTTTGAAAGAAATACTTTTTGATTGTGGTATCGACAGTTTGGAGTCTTTTCCATTCTAATTTTATTTTTGCGCCTTTTTTGCTGCAATATCCCTTACAGGTTACTCATCTCGTGTTTTTGCTTTTTTTCAGCTTCATCATCATTGTTATCTTCAGCAGCAGCAAATTTCACTTACTTCTTGGAACTTTCAACCATCTGTAGGGTAAGATCACTTTTCTGATACACATAAGAGTTTCACAGCCTCCTCCTCTTCATCGTCTGACTGCAATTTCCTCCACAGCTACTAAATGCTGTCTCTTACATGAACAGGTCCTGAGCCCCTACAACCAGAAGACCAGAGCTGGAATTATTTCAGAGCTCCCAGGGTTAAACTCGGCTGTACAGACATTTTCTAAGTTGCTAGTATTACTTTCATCGACCTGCCTTCGTAACTCATTGTGTCCGCTTCAACAATGTGCAATTCATCCTTAGCACCAGCCTCATTAAATTGGCTGTTCTTAAAGATAACTGTTGCTCATTTCATTGTTATCCATCTAAAAGTGATAATCTTTGTCATCTTTTAGCTCACAATCAGAAAGTCGTTTTGAGGCTGCAGGAGGCTTATGTTCATATCAATCAAACCTTTCATGAGTTGTTGGCACATGCTTATATGGGAGAAAAGAACAGCAATGAACACTACTGTTCCCAAGAGCCTCGCAGGACAGAATTACACCAAGGAAAGAAAGGAGATATATACCTATCTATATTACAAAAACAGAGGAAAAAGAAAAAACCAAAATGCTTGTCAGAAGAGACTCATAAGATTACACTGGGATGTTGGGAAGTCAAATCCAAAGGAAAATGTGTCACAAAGTAAGAGCTGAACAGTTTCAAAGGGCAGCTCCGGGAGGACAAAGCAAAGTATTACAACAGAATGTGCAGTAAGCTGGAATTGGAGAATAAAAAGGGAAGAACTCACTCTGCATTTCTCAAGCTGAAAGAACAGAAAAACAAATTTCAACCTCATGTCACAATGTTGAACGATGCTATGGGCAATGTATTAAATGATCCAGAAAGCATCAGAAGTAGATGGAGAGAATACAGTTATTGTACCAGGAAGGATTGACACTGAAAAATTTAAGGAAGTACCATAAAAGTAAGAGCCAATGGTAATTAAAAATGAAGTGGAACCTGCATTGAAGGCATTGGCAAAAAAAAAAAGCCCCAGCAATAGATGGGATACCAGTTGTTTTAATTAACAGATGCAGCCTTGGATGCACTCACCAATCTATACCAGGAAATTTGGAGGACAGCTATCTGGCCAGCAGACTGGAAGAGGTGTATATTTGTTCCTATTCCCAAGGAGGGCAATCCAGCTTAATGCTGTCCAAAGTACTTGAGATGGCGCTGTGCCACCCTTGCATCTAAGGAGCATTTTGGCTGCATAGTCTCCAAAATGTATCTGTTTATCCTTTTGGCAGTCCATGGGATGATCAGTATCATCCTCCCAACAGCAGAACTGAAAAGCATCAGGTACCAAGTGTATTGATAGTGGATCCAAGTAAGATCATGATGTCACCTATTGGTTTGGGGTAAGAATTTCTGTCGATGTTGAGACGCGATCCATATTTAAGGATGCAGTGTTTGAAGTGCTTAAAATACTTTCAGCAAGCAAGGTTGTGTCATCCACATATCAAAGGTTATTGATTAGTCTTCCTCCAATCCTGATGCCACATTCTTCTTCATAGAGTCCAACTTACTGATAGAATAGGCATGGAGAAAGGATACAACCCAGATAGATATATACCTTTCTTAATTTTAAGCCATATAGTCTTCCATTGCTCTGTTCACACAACAACTTTTTGGTCTAGATACCAGTTTTGTGTGAGGACAATTAAGTGTTCTAGGATTCTTATGCTTTTCAATGTTAGTCATACTTTTTATGATCCACACAGTCAAATGCCTTTGCCCTGTCAATAAAGCACAAATAGACATTCTTCTGGGATTCTCTACTCAGCTAGGATCCATCTGACATGAGCAATGGTATCCCTGGTTCCGTGGCCTCTTATGAATCCAGCTTGAATTTCTGTCAATTCCCTGTCTGTGTACTGTTCTAGACATCTTCGAATAATCTTCAGTATTTAACTTGTATGTGATATTAAAGATTGTTGTTGTTTGTTGTGGCTATGTGCCATTGCAACTCATGAACCTGTGTACAACAGCCCTAAACCCTGCTCTATCCTGTGCCAATCTGTCTCAGACACATCTACCCCCATGACCCCAGTCACTGAATCTGTCTCATCGAGGGTCTTCCTCTCCTGTGCTGTCCCTCCACCCTCCAAAGCATGACATCCCTCTCCAAAGACTGCTCCCACCTTGAAACATGTCCAAAGTATGTCATATGAAGCACCAGAATCCTTGCCTCCATCGAGCAGCATGGTTTAACCCTCTCCAGGATGAACTTGTTTATTCTCTTAGCAGTCCATGATATATTCAATACTCTTCTC